GATTGTGCTCAATTATATGCTCAGAATGTAAAAGCTCAGCATTTGTGACCTTGACGTAAGAATAAGTTGCAAAGTACAAAGGATAGCCTGAATAACTGTGATGTTATTTCTGGGGCCAATGTATATCTGAGCCATATTCACATTTCCTCTCAGAATTGCTGTTCTCAACATAGACAGAGTGCAGAAATTTTATCTTGGGATAACTTATTTGAGGTGCGAACAAAGATAGTTAACAACAACAATAAAATTATATTTCTATAGCTCTTTCACGTCGGGAGGATGTTCAAGGCGCTGGACAATCAGTTTTTCAGATGCAAGCCTGGGAGTTGGGATCGGGGAGGGTGGAGGGCAGTGGGGGAAGGAGGGTGACTGAAAGCACGGTTGAGGAGGAGGGTCTTGAAATGGGTCTTAAAGGAGACCAGGAAGGGGTCAAGGCAGAGGGACTGCGGGATGGAGTTCCAGAAGATGAGGGTAGATTGTCAGAAGACCCGCCAGCCAATGTTGTGGGGGTGGGGTGGGAGTGAAGCGGGGGACGTGAAGCAGGCCAGAATACAACAACAACAAACTATAGCCCCTTTCATGTCGGGAAGACGTCCCAAGGCCCTGGATAATTCCACGTACGTCAATTCAACCTTTGGATGAGAAGTTAAACCAAGATCCCGTTTGCCTGTTCAGGTAGACATTAAAGATCCAATGGCACAATTTGAAAAGAGAAAGGAGTTCTCCCGGTGTCCTGGCGAACAAATCCCCAAAACAAAAATTCACTCTATGGCTGTTTGTGGGACATTGCATGTGCAAAATGGAGACCATGTTCACCCATAAAACACGTGATCACTGAACTTTATAGTACATCCTGTGAAGCAGTTTGGGATGTCCTAACAATGTGAAAAGTGCTACACCAAATGTAAGCATAATATTATTAATCCTTGGAACCAGATGGAAATCATCCTGGACTGATGTCTTTGTCACTTAAACCATCAAGTGACAAGGACATTATTCACCAGGTTAGTGAGTAAAAAGGAGAGAAAATTGAATCCCGCTGTTATTAACTTTATGTTATCAAGGGCATAATGTGGAACTTATAAAACATTTTCAAAAATAGTTTCCAGTCCTCTCAGCCCTGTTTTTGCACTGCTAATCGAAAGGAATTCAAGACAACATGACCCTACATTTGGTTTTGAATGTAATCACTTTATGTATATTTCTTCGAGTTTGACTTTTACGTGATGAAACAAATAATGATCTAGCTTATTTTCTTGATGTGCAGAAATTCTTCTTTATGTGTGACTTTGGCGATTCACACCCTCTAGGGCATTCTTCCCAGAAGAAGGGAGAGTAAATGATGCCTTTGAGCAGACAACAAATCTTACGATACTGATCACTGAGATACAACAGTGTTTCATGCAGAGATATTCATGCACAGTATTAGCACTCTTTCCTTTGGAGATTCGACATCGAGCGTTTCAGGTTGACGAACTCTCTGTGCTATCGGACAACGTGATGAAGCTTCATCCCAGCCTCAAGGGCAGAAAGAAAGCTTCACCCAACAACTGTACCAACCACCCAGGCCATGTGACTGACATACAGCTTTCATAGGAATTGTGCTTGCTGGTGAATAGTTTTAAATAAAATATCTTAAGTGGTTACCAAAGAGTTTACACAGATACCTAAAGTCTGAAAAACTGAAATTAAAGTTTCTAATAAAAAGAAGGAAGCATTGGCTCACACTGGTAGAGAACCAACTCTCTGTTGGTCAATTTCACAGCATTGCAGCCACAAAGGAGCAGGAAGCATTCCTTCCTACCTGTTGTCATCTGTGCTGATCATTGGACGGGAAGCGAGCATTGAAAGCAAACGTTTGCATATCGCAAATGAGAAATAAAAAATGACTTATTCTCACACTAAGAAGCGCAACCAAAATAAATTCTGAAGGAAGAAGAGCCAGAGAAGGAGAAGCAGCTCCTGGTTTCAACACTACAGTTTGTCTGACTCCAAATGACCTGGCTGTGACAAGTCGTGGGTTATATACCTGATAGCACCTGTGACATATTATGTTTTAAATTTAAAGTGCTGGTTCCACACAGGATGTGCATCACTGGTATTATGATATGCATTTGGTATCAAAGTCTTCAAAAGCTATCACTTAAACGAAGTGTTCATATTCCCAGCGCACCGCATTGATGACCACGAGCTGACAGGACATGAACACAGAATGCTCTATACTTGTGTTGTAAGTAACTCTGGGTAGCGAGATACTCAGCAGCCCATTTTTCTTCACTAGTTGTGACTTTCAGTAGAATAGGAGGAAAATGAAGAGAAATTATTCGAGTGAAAGCCTCAGTTACTCTGACCTGAGCTTTAATTCAAAGACATCAGCCTCAAGTGAAAATGTATACCGTGTATTTTTGATTTTGTTTTTATTTGCTCATTCCTAAGTTCAGCTGTTGTCCTTTCCTGACATATTCCAATTGTTGCACACTTGGGAGAATACTTTGCTATAAAAATAACAAAGGCAGCATTCTGCAAAGTGGATTGAAACTGTTTTTAGACTTATTCAGTGCAATTGTTTATCTTAATTAGCAAGTATTTTGAATTATTTTCTTATTCAAACTATATTTAAACATGATTCCCTGGCTAGGAAGTAACGTGCCAACTAAAATACAGTATAACAATGCATTTTAATAACACTGGTTATCATCCAAACGTTCATCACATCTAGGCTCCTCTACGCCAAATCTGTGCTTGTCGGCCTTCCCAACTCTTCCCTCCACAAGCTGCAGATCACCCAGAACTCTGCAGCTCATGTCCTCTCCCGCACCAAGGCTCCTTGACCCTATCAACCCCACCCTTGCTCGGTTCCACTGGCTCCTCATCCACCAGAGGATAGAGTTCAAAATCCTTGTCCTCCCTTCAAGGCCCTCCATGGCCTTGCTACATCCTACCTCTATGACCTGCTAACCTCACATCAACCTGTCCGCTACCTCCACTCAGCAGGCTGCGGCCTGCTCCACAGTCACCCGCCTGGCCCACCCCACCATTGGCAGTCAGGCCTTCAGCCTCTCTGCCCCCACACTTTGGAACTCCATCCCACTTTCCCTTTGCCTCACTCCCTCTCTTGCCTCCTTCAAGACACATCTCAAGACCCTCCTTTTCGACCGCACCTTCAGGTACCCTCCCGCCCTCCACCCTCCCTGATCCCAACCCACCTGCTCGGGTCCAAATCCCTGACTGTCCAGTACCTTGAAACAGCCTATCCGATGTGAAAGGCGCTATACAAATGTAACTTTGTATTGAATTGCTTAATTTCTTAGGTAGAGGATAGACATAAGTATTCATTCTAAATTCATTCAGTTAGCCCTCATGGTGTGGCACTGAATACTTTTTGTGTGTTTTCAGATATTTTATTCATCTTAAATATAAACATACGAAAGCAGTTCTGGAATGGTCTCTACCTTGTACTGGTAAGATCTGGGGAAGTTCAGGGAACAGAGCATTGGAATAATCAAGCCTGGGTATGATGACAACATGAATGATAATCCATGCATTTGATTATTTTTTGGTGTCTGACACACGTGGAAACCCATCCCCATGCTTAAGCCTATCCAAACCGAGCTGAGAATTCCATGCATCCCACCCACACATGGAAATCCCAGAGATAGATTGTTGGAATGGAATGCACAATCTCTCCCTGGAGGGACGCATCCTGCTTACCTAATTCTGGAAAGTATTAGGTCCAAGTTGGCAAGAGCCAGGGCTTGGAGGCCTTAGAGTGCGCGTTGGGGTCCTGCTGGATGCTAACCAACTAAAACCCCATAGCTTGCCATTGATAGCACTGTCTTGGAGTTGATGCAACCCTTTCATGTAGGGAGGACATTTCAACAGCCTTCACAAAATTTGCTGTAAAGTGTAGTGCCTATGCATTTATTAATCAAAATTAGGTGAATTAAGTGAAATACAGAGCATGGATCTATTCCCACATGTCTGCCATTAAACTATTAAAATTGTTTTTCGCAGAAAAGAACCTGTTTTATTCTAATGGCACAGAAGTGTTTTGTTATCCCTGCTTCATTTTTACCCCTGTAACTTTCAATCTCATTTTTTTCCAAATCATTTTTTTTCTGAAGGGGTCAATTGATTATTACTTTCTTAAACTGGAAATCGGTTCCTGTTATCCCCCATTATGGATATGAGTATGAGAGGAAATTGTAAATTAGCTAAAATGTATCATAAACCCAATTAAAGGAGATATTGATTGGATTCTGATCTCCATTCACAATGTTACTTCCAAAATGTGGTTTTGGATTGAAACAAGTGCATAAATTACTGCTGTACAAATCTGTATATATTGCAATAGATTTTTAAAAAAAACATACACTTAAAATGATTATGATTAGAAATTCTCGGGCTGCCCATTTGAAGTATTTTCATCTTGTTGAAGAGCAAGTCACGTTTATGACCTTTTACTAAGAATAACAATTAGCCAGTGTTTAGAGCCATTTAGCAGCCCGTTTGCTTTTGGCTCCCCTGGTGGGAGTGATTCAGAGCAGGAAAGTTTAGTCTGCGCCAAGGTCACTGATCCTTATTGCTCTACAATTGGATTCAGTATTAAATCGCTCCAGAAGTATTAAAATGAGCCATTATTGTGCGATTAGTTCCAGTTCTTTTGTTCACCAAATGCATTGTTGCTTTTCATTTTCTGTTCAGTGAAAGGCTGAAATAAAATCGCTTTCTGCGCTCCACTATCCAATGTAAATAAGAGGTGCAATTAAAACCCAATATAAATCCAGCCTCGACACGGAGGTGTCCGCTTTAAACCTTCAACCGGACAGTGCAATAAGTGACATTAATTTAGATTTGTTAAAGTGAAGCGCATTTCAAATCCCCAAACAAATAAAGCACCCAATTCTTATCTGCAAGGGACAGAATGCGATTGCAGAAATCAATCCCTGGAGGTATGATGCATGTGCTGGGTATGGCGACAGCAAGACATTCATTGAGTATGGCTTTTTGTTTTCAATTTACTGCATCAACATTGCCATTGATTTACTATTTATTGTTGCAGAATACAGTGGCAGGTATCTATACCTAAGTCATACAGCGATATTTTCACTTCACTAACACACAACGCCAGAACTGTGTCAAGCGTTTGAAAGAGAATACATTACTGTCTGTGACTGCAGTGCAACACGAATGCCACAGCAACATCCAGTTGTTGGGAATGCAACGTTGCAATTTGAAAGAAGACTTTGCTCGTTAAACAGCGAGATATTATGCCCACGGATCGTAAGCTATGGCAGAGTCTCTCTTTGCTCAGAGGGTTCGCCTCCTGTCCCATTGTGAAGATCAGATCACACAGCCCTCCAACAGTCTGCACAACGTCTGGCTGAGGAAGCATATATCTTGGGAGCAGATTGGGGTCGTCCCGACTCTCTTACATCCTGATCGTCAGTGACTTTTGCCACAAACCCCTCTTCAGGCTAATGCATAGTCGAACTGTCCTTTCTCCAATCCATCCAGACCATCCGCCCACGTGGAGGTGGGCATGCTCCTGTACGGGTCCAGGAGGATCCTGAAGCATCTGACGATGAGGATTCCCAGGACGATGAACAGTAAGATAACAAAAGCGAAGGTGGTTTTCTGCTCCAGGGTCATCCCCTCGGGCATTGCTCCTCCCGCCGGCAGCAGAGTGGAAGTGAACGGTTCACCATCCATAGTCCAGGAGAGTTGGAATGAATAATCCCACAACTTTCTCTTTCTCATCATCAAATCCCCGAGCTCATGGTGGAAGTTGCTGGGTCGAACCCCTTCATCTGCAAAGAGCGATCATCACATGTTTTAAAGACTATATGTGCCAAAGGGAAGTAATTCAACGATCTGCTTCTGTAATGGGCAGTTACAGTAATATCCTACAGTAAAAACACATCCAGTCATTTGAAAACAAGACTAAGAACATTGCCTTTCAGAAGAAGCCCAAATCAATAGGTGGGATTTGATTCTTTCCTCTTAAATAAAACCCCAGTTTGTGGCTCAGGACAACCTCAAACAAACCTGACAACTGCAATGTATGCACCAGCAACAGGCAAATTATGGCCAAATTCACAGCTTTAAATCAAATAGTCGGTTTGAATAAACAGAAGAGAACAGAACAAGACGCACAATGATTAAAAAAACTGCACAGAGAGTCTCATTTCAAAACCCAGGTTTACATATTTAGTTAAGAAAAAAACACACTATGTTTATATAACTAAATTAAAGGCTATCCCAATACTTTGTTTTGGTTATTTTAAAAATAATATCCCGTTTCCTTTATTACCTACAGGGATGCTAAGAGTGTGTGAGGAATCCACTTTCTACCAAACCCTTTCTCTCAGTGCTGTTGGTGTCACTCTCCTGTTGATTCCCTGATCCAAGACGTGTACTGGAGTCTTTCAGACAGGACAGAGCTCACAGCCAGTCCCCACTCAGACTGAGTACCGCAGGAGCTGATGCTCTTAACATATCAATTGGAAACGTCATTGATCCTTGCAAAAAAACACCCGAACAAATTTTAAAATGAGTCTTTCTATATATATATGTATATATATATAGTCGGAATCGCATCAATTTGCTAATGCAACAGGAAAATCATTTCAGGGCACATTACTTTACGGGAGCCCAGTCTTTGCATTTTGGACTGATGTAATTTATGAGTGTTTTGAAGTTGTCTCATGTACCCACACACAGCTCAGAAATGCCACACATGGCTACACAAAATAACCATTTGCATCGTCCAGTGTGGGAGTTATTTTCCTTCGACCCGATTGTCTGTGTTGCCCGCAGCAAGTGGAGTGAGTTACTAAGCATTCAGCTAAACAAGTGAAGAGAATTGCTCTCAATTCCTGACAGTCAGGGTTAACAACTTAAAAAAGTCTGTGACACGCCCTGTAACCCAGTGCAGTGTGTGGAACATTGACATGTGTTTACTTATTTGTCTCACATATACAACGCAATGTTTATCCTCCCCCATTGCAAAGGATCATCACAAATCAAGCAAATCAGCTACATAGCCTTTGGTTCAGAATGCAGTTGCAAAACATGGGCATCAGAGGAAACTAAGGTGAAGGCACACAGTGATTTCGCATTTATGGTGATACATAACGTTGTATAATTATTCACCAAAAACTGAAAAGGAGGGAGTAATAATCCCTCCAAAAAAAATTGGTCACTCAACCCACACCTGTTTGTGGGACACTGCTGTGTGCAATTGGTTGCCACGTTTCACCCACAAAATGATAATAACCCTTGCATTTGATATAGCGCCTTATCACGTCTTCAAGACTTCTCAAAGCGCTTCACAGAATATACTGTAAGTGAATTGGCTATATATTTTGTGGGGGAAATGCGGCAGCCAATTGCACACAGCAGTGTCCCAAAACAGTCGTGGATTGAAAGTGACCAATTTTTTTTTGAAGGATTTATTACCCCCAGAAAAGTGATCCGCCAATCAACTAACAACCTACTCACTGCTCGGTAAACAGGTGTGAGGAGTAAGGAAACTTGCCCAACATTTCGCCCAGCCGGGAATTGAACACAGTCCTCTCGCTTTGGAGGCGAGTGCTTTAACCACTGAGCTACAGGACTCCACAATATAGTCGATCCACTTTACGATATATATCATGCGAAGCGCTTTGAGACGTCTCAACAACGTGATAAGGAGCTAATTCAAATGCGAGGATTATTATTGTCTTCGTGGTATGGTACGTCCAAAATATTCAGAGCAACATGCTGGCTGGATGCAAGCTGTAAACTGAAGAAGGTACAAGTAGTAAGATCTGGGCAGTCAAAGGAGTTAACTGGTGGGTGCTGCAAAGAAATGTGCAATGTGTGTGCAAAGGAAAGGGCAGGGCTATATTTCTCCCAGTAACAGGTCACATTTCAAACCGATCTGTCCATCAACTCAGATTGTTTCATGTCCATATCATGCAAGATAGAAATGTGTCAGTGCATGTAACTACCTCATTCGGTTTGTACACAGCCCTTATGATTTCAATCTCTCGCTCCCTTCCAGTCCTGGCGATTTTGTCTACCCGCACACATGCAGAAGGAATATTATTTACCTCGATCTGTTGGGGAGAAAGCACGATCCATCCTCTTATGGGTTTTTTTTTGGTTAAAAACCCGACATCTCCTCCATCCGAGCTGCTTGACAACTCCTGCGTTTCTTCGGGCAAAAAGAAAGGAACCCAAAAAAAACACACACACACACACACACAGAGAGAGAGGCAGAGACAGAGACAGAGACAGAGAGGGGAAGGGAGTGAGGTGGTGGGGGGGGGAGGGAGAGAGAAGGCAAATTTTTCTTAAATTGCAATGGTCACCACGAGGCTTTGATCTGGCTGTTTGGTTGGAGAGAAAGGCTTTGGAAAGGTTGGTGGAGATACTTGGTTGCCAGGGCGATCCTCGATCCAAACAGGGTATTCCCGTCCAAGCTCTGCAGTGAGAGAGAGAGAGAGATGCTCAGCGCTTCCTTCTCCCTCCACTTGTCTGGGAGCGATTACAGCTGATCACAGGAGCAGCCACACCAACCCCCAGCACCAGTAACCCTTCCAGCTGTGAGATCTGCCCCTCACCAACCCCCCCCCCCCCCCCCCCCCCCCCCCCTCACCATCACATCGGAGTACGTGTCGGGAATCCGGGAATGTCCCCGCCTGTGGGAATCAAAAAGATCAAAGTATCATTCACGCCATCGATTTTAGCCCAGAGCTCTCTTGGCGTTGGGCTGGTTTTGTGGTGTCCATTGGCGATCATTTTCTGACAGTGTTTCACATCGATCCCGTCCTACGAGCTCCGGGGCGATGTGGCAAAGGATGGCTCTGCTAATTGGGAAGACTTCTGAGGGAGAGCGTGGGCTCAGAGGGTGACCTGTGCCAAGAGCAGCAACACCCACGGGTCTCTGTCTAGTCTTCTGTAGGAATCATCCGGTCCTAAAGTTCCCCCCTGGCTTTATTGCTGGAGGGGTAAGCATTTTCCCTTTGCACCCTCAGTTGGAACCAATCAAACGTTGACTATAATTACACCCAGGATATTTCTAGTCTTGTATCCATGACAGCACAGCACAGCACAGCCTGGCTCGTAGCTGGACCTGAAGAGCAAACCTGTTACTGGGGGCAGGAAGCCATCCCATTCTGCTCCTGTTACCCCTGCATTCAAAGTCCTGGCTGGTAGGGTGGTCCTAGCTGGACAAGCAGCAGGAAACTTTGTCAGACAGTGATGTCAACGGCAAGCTATGTGGTTTTAGCTGGTTAGACTCCAGCAGTACCCCAATGCACAATCTGGGGACCCCAAGCCTTAACTCTTGCCAACCTGCGCCTAATACTCTCTGGAATTAGGTAAGCAGGATGCATCTCTCCAGGGAGAGAGTGCGCATTGCATTCCTACAATCTATTTCTGGAATTTCCCTGTGTAGGTGGGATGCACAGAATTCTCAGCTTGGTTTGGATACTCTTAATCATGGTGATGAGATTTTGCATATATCAAGACACCTGGCTGACCCACCCCAAAATTATCCATCCATTTCACTGCTTGTTAAATCGGTCACTGCATAGGCTCAGAATTTTTAATGGAAGCGTTAACTCGTAGACTTTACAACAACAACAACTTGCATTCATATAGTGCCCTTCACCTGGGTTGGTGTTCCGGAGCACTTGACAGTGGCGGAGTTTGACCCCGAGAAGAAGCTGTTTAGGAAGAAGCTACCTGAAACTTAAAACATTATTCTTTCCCGCCAAACAGCTACTTAGGTCAAGAATGTGACAGGCTCAAAAAGGGAATCGGCGAATATTTGAACAATATCAAAGGGTAGTAGAAAAGAACATGGAACCGGGTACTTGCCCCCTGCCTTGCCAACTTCCATGACTATCTCAAGACCCTCCTCTTCAACCGTGCTTTCGATGTCCCTGCTTCCCCCCATGCCTTCCACCCTCCCTGACCCCAACCCCCAGCTTGGGTCTGTAACTCTGTCTGTCCAGCGCCTTGGGACGTCCTCCCGACGTGAAGGGCGCTTTACAAATGTAATTTTGTGTTGTTGTTGTTATTATAGAGTGCTTGGCTCTGGTGTAGTTTTGATGGAGAATGACCTCATTCTGCGATGTTAATTCTAACATTCTGTCTAAGCATTCAACAAAATACAGTCAATCCACTTTACAGTATATCCTGTGATGCGCTTTGAGATATCTCAATGATGTAAATCAGGAGCTATATCAAATGCGAAGATAATTATTATTATTGTATGCTGATGTGATTTCTCTTCTCCTTCCCTATCTTGTGTCTCCCAACACCACACATCAGCCACTCTAAGAAGGCAGATGTGACCTTTTCACTGGTCTTTATGCCACTCTGAAACTGGACACTTAGAGGTAATCTCTTTCCCAATTGACTTGCACTCAGTGACTGCCTGGAAGCTCACTGTATGGTAGATTAACAACGACAATTTGCTTTTATATAGTGCCCTTCACATGGGGTAGCATCTTGGAGTATTTATTGATCAGCGTTTAACAAACCTGGACTCCAACCATTCTTTAGTATCTTGTGGTAGGACTTCAATATGTGTCATCATTACTTTGCAGGGCTGAAAGCTGTATACATACTGTATGTAAATGGATGGGAAGGGGAACTGTGCTATTTTCAGGGTGTGTTTTGGACAGGATCAGCCGGTTCCAATAGTAGAGCTGCAGAGTTTCTTTGTTGGATGCTATAGAAAGCTTGTGCTGCAGCAGCGACACACAAAAAAAAATCAGTAAGTAATCACTAAATGGTTGTACTGGGCATCTCTGTTGTCAGAGGTACCATCTATTGGATAAGATGTGAAATCAATTGCATGTTGAGGTGGATGTTAAAGATGCAGTGATATTGATCAAAAAGAGAAGCATATTTCTTGCAATATCCTGTCCAACATTCTTCCAGCCAAAATTGATCATTTACCTCATAGCTACTTGTTGGACCCTGATAGCTATGTCCAAAATAGCTGCCGTGTTTGTCTACCAATAGAGTCATTATACTGGACAAATATGAATCTGAAGACAGGACTACTGTATTTAAAATCCCATAGTTCAATAACCAGCTGCATACTATCTGGGCTCAAAGATCAAACAATATTGGGGATGGACATCAGAGCCACGGTAACATAGCTCAGCAGAATTTTCACCTTCTGACCAAGAGGGCATGGAAAATTGGTCTGACCAAAAGGGTTGAGCTGGATTTTTTAGATGTCATTGTTACATACTATTTATAGCATATTACCTGTGACCAGTGACATGATCAAAATGTCTCTACTTGGAAAACTATGGGTGTGATGGACCCAATTTAAAACCTTTGTGCTGTCTCAGTCAGACATAGAACACATTTCAACTAACCTTTCAGTGAGATTCAAATGTAAGAATATTTAGTTCCATCGTTCTTTGCTACCAGAGGGAATATCTACTCATTTTTAGCATACAGAAGCTTGTGTTCATATAACAAATTTAGCTGATATTTTAATTTGCAATGCATTGATACGATTAAGATTTGATCAGCTTCACAAGCTTTTAATGAAATCCTTTGTAGGAAATCTATACATATAGAGATTTACTGATCCTTTTTATAAGCTTTAGAATCCTGTTTGATTTTTTTTTTGGAAGGTAGAAAATAATAATAATCCTAGCATTTGATATTATGTATTTCATGCAATTAGAATATCTCAACGTGCATCATAGAATAATACAATGGGATATTATCCCACATTAAATTCCATACCTCCCTTAGCCTAATCTTTGTCAAACTCCATGGACTCTCTGTCACAGAGCGGAACGATTTCAAGATCCTCACTCTTGTATTTAAATACCTTCACACCCTGGCATCCCCCTATCTCTCCAACCTGCTCTCTCCCTACACTACTACCAGCTGACTCTGCTCAACTGGCTCCAGCCTTGTCCTTGTCCCCCAGACACTCCGCCCCACCATCAGTGGCCGTGCTTTCAACCACTGTGCCCCAAAGCTGTGGAACTCTCTCCTTCAATCCCTTTGCCTTGCCTACCCATTTTCAGGTCGAATTGAAGATCTTCATCTTTGACTGTGCCTACATTCACCTTATTTTATATTACACTGTATAATACACTGTATTTTATAGGCAAATGCAATTTGCACACAGCAATGTCCTACAAACAGCCAGGAAGTGAATGACCAATTTTATCTGGGGGACACCCTTCTCTTTTCAAATAGTGCCATGGTCCACTAAGGTCCACCTGTATAGGCAAATGGGACCAGTGCGCCCACAGCTCTGCACTGGAGTGTCAGCCTAGAATATGTCAGTTCAAAGACTTGACTTCTGGCTTGAGTCTACAACCTTCTGATTCAGAGGCAACAGTGCTATCAATTGAGCCAAGCTGACACTCAACAGATGCACATCAGGCTTTGCATTGATTGAATGAAGTGTGGGTATCTGTGACTTTATTAAAAAAATTCTTAGTTCTATGGATGATTGGAAGGAAAATTACATGAGAATTGTAGCAACTGGCGCTAACATAATAGCCCAAATATTCTTGTAGTTGTAATTGTCTGTACAGACATTAAATTCTATTGGAAGTTTGTGTGCCCAGAAAATGCAAAAGCACTTCTTATGAGGTTCACACTCAGACTGTCTGTTCACTTTGAATCTTTGTTAATAAAGGAATTCAGGGGCTTGAGATTCAATAGGATATTTAATCTCAAATATACAACAATATTTTTTGTTGTGTAAACTTATTTTTATAGCAGAGACATTTTCAACTGACTTCCTGCGAGTCTCCCTGAAGTATATTTAAAGCTTCTAATTGTGTGTTGGAAGGATAAAGTAAATGTTGATTTTTTTTTAGAAAAAAGACACCCCTTTTGTTTGTTATGTGCAGGTTAGATATCTTTGGAGTCTAAAATGTAGCAATTTAAAATGGGACTCCATTGTGAATTGTGTGTTAGCCTGGCTCAGTTAGTAGCACTCTCATTTCTCGGTCAGAAGATTGTAGGTTCACACAAATTCATAGGAAGTGAACAGAACTTTCTGTTCTGAAACTATGTTACTTAGGAGGGGTTTTCAATATGTCAACATGATTTTTTTCTTCTGTTTTGGTGGACTGCCTCTTTCCACATAGGTGCAGATACTTCTAGATATCTAGACAATCTTGTTCATTCTAATATTATCAGGAGGGTACAAGAGCCTGAGCCACAATGCTTGTTATCAGTGGCATTCAAAATTAATGTCCGCCCACAAA